TCCTCCAGGGACAAAAACATCCAAGTTCAACATCTACACCAGGTGTGTGGGAGGTAGGCCGAGGGGACTGGAACACAGAGGTGCTCACTCTGTAGGTGTAGAACTGATGCAACCCAAGTAAAGGACACTAACAGAAATAGGAGGAAGGGGAAGCTGCAGGGACCAGGCCTGGGAAGACAAAGGGGGTAGGAAAGGAGTGACACTGAGTTTTAGAAACCTGCCGTGCCATGTGTGGGCACCTGGAAGCACTATGCTCTGAAGCTATTTGCAAGCCAGGGAAGTCAAAGCAGGAAGTAGGAAAGAGAATGATAAGGCTGCCTGGGGCTGTGAAGGACTCCACAAATCACATCCAGCCTGCTGCCTGTGCTTGTACAGCCTGGTAGGAAGAAGTTTTCATGTGTGCAGATAGGCACATCAGCCTCAGGAAGGTTGCTTGGGGAATCACAGTGCGCAGGGACAATAACAAGACTCAGAAAGTGGCCCACACAAGAACTGAAGGAAACCAAGAGGGCGAAGTAAAAGCCCATTGCAGAAGGTTCACACCGCAGAAATGTGGCAGGCTAAGGGGCAAACATCAGCTGGGAAAACTGTTTTTCAACTGATTCTAGCACTCTGTAAGCACAAAGGCAGCAACCATCCCAAGCAGTTGTATATCCAGACAAAGCCCAACCAGGGCGAGCAGGTGAGTGAGACAGAGAGTCAGGAGGGAGCTTCCGGTCAGGGCTTCCGAGGAGCAAGTGTTGAATTAACATGCAACGTGATCTGGATAGATTCCACCCCTTTGAACTCCAGAAAATGCTCATCCTTAGACTGAAAGCCTCAGAATAGGCAGTGGCAGTCTGATCAAAAGCCAAAGGTTGACGGATTTTACAGGACATGATACAAATTTCTTCGGGAAGACCATAGGACTTTGGAAATCCAGCCAGAAGGAAGGTCTTGGAAGGTGCAAGAATGAGAGTGGTGTAGGTTACAGACAGGTGCAAAGTGGAGAGTGGATCTAAGAAATGATAAAGTGGCTCACCACACACAGTCTACAGCAGTGATGACAAATTCTGAGAGCTTTCGAGGGTAACAGCCTGCCGCGGCATGCACGCCGTAGGTTCACCATCAGTGGTCAACAGCATCTCTTCACACTCCTCAAACACCTATCAGCTTCTTGGGCATCCTTTTCCCCACCTATGTCTCTTAAGAGTTGTGAAGAAACTCTCATAGTAGCTGCCCATAATACAGCTGGGGTTATTTTGGTTTTCTTAGAGAAAGAGACTGGGTGTTGAAAACAGGGGACCACACTGGATGCAGGTGAAGACGTTTACAGATTTCACCCACAGCGTGGATTAGCCTGCAGTTCACAACGAAGCTTAGTTGAAGTTAGCTGGGCACTTAGATGTCCCAGCACCACCACCCAGGCCTTTGCCCTTAAAATCAGGATCCACGGCTGGAGTAGTAATAAATGTGTATCTCCACATCTCTTGAAACCTAAAATAAGCTTACCAGGGAGGAGAAATGAAGCAACAAGCATAGCTGACAACATTCTTTTAAACTTTTTAAATATACCTTTATTTCACACTCAAAAGCTTTATATCACCAAGTTCTAACACATTTGCATTGACAGGTGATCTCACCTGCTTAGGGAAGAAGGTGAGTGACCATGACCCAAGAGGAAACCCACATACCCTGGGCGTGCTAAAAAAATACTTTAAAGATATGCAAATCTATAACAAAAGATCATCAGATTTAGTCTAATGAGTATCCCACTTTTTTCTATTTGAATATGAATAGCTGCACTAGAAAATTAAGTCTTCACCCTAAAAAAATTAATAAGCTTGTGTTTTAAAAAATGGTCAGATCCATGTTAACTTCCTCCTCCTCTTCCATGGGTGTCACCTCACCTTCCTACACAATAAGCACACGTGAGAATTTCACCAACTCTCCATAGCCCAGGCAGTGCTCCAAGCATTATCTTTAGCTTACACTTAAACTATTTTTTTAAAAAGTGATAGATAAACACAATGTAGGCACTTTAACTCACAAAACGGGCCTTTTCTTTCCTTTGAGAGCTCCACAAATCATCCAGAAACATGCCAGGTCTGTAAAATACCTCTATCTCTGTTGGTCCTCTGAGTTGAAGCGGTTGAATTGGAATACGCTCTAAGTCAGCTGTGAGGAGCTGGTGTCTCCCACGTTTAGGCTATGAATCTCACCCTTGGAAACTGGAAGTTATTGCTATGTAGAGAATCCTCCCAAAGGGACCTCCCTAGAGTAAAGCCCCATTTAGACCCCCAGAAGGTAATGGCCCTTGTGAGCTGCAGGATTTATTTTCACAGCTAGTTTACATTAAAGCTACTCTCTGGAAGAGGATGTTTGAGCTCAGGCTGTAACAGCATTCTAAAACAAGGCACCAGTGCCAGGCACATCACTAGGAAGGAGTCGCTCCGTAAGCTGGGAAGCTGTGCTTGAGTGGCACCATTTCCCAAAGCTAGGCAATACTAGTTAAAAACCTAATGTACCATGAAAATGCTATAGGTGGAGCCAAAGGATAAGCAGATTCAGAGCTTCCACAATGTGATTACTAAGGCATCGATCGCCACCCTACACAGGTTCACACATAGCTCGCTGTGACTCAGATCTTCAGTGTAAACCAAACTGGAGGAAAAACAAAAACTTGAGTGCCAAACCACATGGAGCCCACCTACCAGGGGCCAGGCATCAAGCCTGCTACTCAGCCTGCGCATCAGCCAGGCCCCCATGTATGAGCCACACCGCAGGCCACTTGCAGCTACCAGGAACTGACTTAAAGGAGCTGGTGACAGAGAGTTTCACTCTGGCATTGAAACTTTAGTGAGCAATCGTGTCTTATTGCTAATGTAAGCCTGAGCGTGACACCAAAGCTCAAGGCCAGGAATCTAGTGTGTGTTTTTCCACCAACAAGAAGGGAACAGGTACCCTTTTCATCCTTCTGCTGCTCAACCTGACTTCAAGAAACAGGCTGGTCAAAAACAGTTCAAAGTCCTGAAGAAAATTCAGCTGCTTAAATGTAGATTAGAACCAGTACTTGAACTTTAGTGCCCTCTGCCCCTGCCAAGTCTCACGTTACTCAACACACACACACACACACACACACAAACACACACACACAAAATAAGGAACCACTGGGCTCAGTGCAATTTCAGGGTGTCTCGTGCTTGTGTGGGCAGTAAGAAAGACAGCTTCCAGATAGAATTTCCAGACATCTGAAATTCAAGGTTGCCTGGCCTATTCTGAGGCTGACACAAGGTTCATGGAGCAGAGGAAGACCCACCAGCACAGGGGCTGTGTTTTAAAAGTGCAGCCCTGGTCGGTGCAACTTTTACCCTGATGCTTGTGGAGCACACGGCTATTCGCAAGCTACAAAAATTACCTGGGCTAACAACAACAACAATAAAAACAATGGGTGAAAAGTCTACCAAGAGCGGCATCATACAATGGTACCAAAGAGCTGGAAAGCAGGGAATTCCTTGGAATGGCCATGCCTGCTTTCATCCTTATCAAAGGAGGATTCTTTCCAGATTGGAAAAAAAAAAATATATATAAGCACAAGGAACTCCAAGGACAAACTGGAAATTTAATTATTTGGTTCAGATACTATCTTGTTCCCGTGTCTCATTTGTCCCCAACCCTTCTAAGTCAAACCAGCACTGATCCCTGTGACTAAAGGCTTATGCTGGCTATGGCTTTACCACATTTGAAAAGCTTTGGTTCAACAAATCTGTCATTTTTTAGTAAATCTGTTGTCACTCAGCCACAACGGCAGCATTTTAAAGTCATGGGTGACCAAGTAATTCTGAAGGTGGGGACCACTGTTCATCTCCCCTCCAACACGGAAACATCCCAGGGATCCACTCATAGAACTGGCCTTGCTCAAAGCCAGGGAATTCAAATATAACCAAGGCTCACAGAGAAATAGGAGCTGGTCACACAAAAGAGGCTTCCGGTCACCTAACACACACAACACAGGAACAAGCTAAACCTTGGCTCTCAATCGCATCTTGTTTAAGAGGACTAAGATATCACATTCCAGAAGAAACCTGAAAATGTGTCTTTACCAAAAGGTCAACCACACATTTTCTATTAGGCATTTCTGTATTAAGATAATGTCAATGCTTAAAGTGAACAGAAAGCAATCACTCAGGGCTTTGGATTTTTATGACCACAAGAGAAAATAAAGGAGCATGGATTTGCTTAGAAACCAAACTGGCTACCAATACTGTTTTCTCCCTGACACCCTAAAGTAATGCTTTCTAAAAGAGCCCACAAAAAGTTTCAAAACAAAATCCCTTATCTAAATCTACTGGGAAAAGCAACAGTAGCCTAGACCTCTCCCACTAAGTTTGCTTTAGACTAGAGATTAACACTGTTTTCCTTCTAAAGTGCAGAATACAAACAAATATGGTCAAATCTACCAAATAAGGAAGATCATTCTTCATTCAATTCTTTCCCAAATACACTGGAAAGATCTGAAAGGCCCTCCTTGGTGGCTACAGTGCACACAAGGCCAGACTGAATGCTCAACCCCTACCTTCACAGGGTACGGGGACAGGTGGTTAAATTCTAAGCCAATTCCACAGGTCACTCAGTTCTACTAAAATTCCTGAATCCATGGGCTGTCATAAATACCTGGAGAAAGAAATCACTATTTTAAAAAACAAAAAGAAAGCAAACCAAATAAAGAAAGAAAAGAAAAAGAAAAAAAGCCAAAGTACTCCAGAAAGACAGCTTGTCATATATGGAATGTGACCAAAGTGGGTTTCCAATTAAAACATGGGAAGACCCTCACATCAGTTACAACAATGAATACAGACACAGTCTAGAAGAGAAACACAAAAGTCATTCATGGGAAAGCTAATGGGGAAAAGATGTCATTCAATTAGAATTCCTTAACAACAACAGGAAAAAAAAAATTCATGTTTCCTATTTACAATCACCGCCCCCACCACCACCTCTACCACAATTCTACATTAACATTATGTTCCACATTTTATTTTGTTTTCAAGTTAAATTTTAAGAAAAAGATCATTTTTTTTTCCTCAGCAACATCTCATAATTTCTTAAGATAGCACAGCTTCTAAACCATAAACCACTTTCAGCTAGACCTCCAATCTCCAGCTACTGGCTTTGGTTTATTTATGAAAGAAATTCTCAGCTCTGTTTGACAGGGACTAGACACAAGCAATTTAGTCCCATAAACAAAAATTAACTCACAAGAGTACCCTCATGTTTGTCATTTTCTGCCTGACTAAAACTGACACAAGAAGAGAAATTATCAGTACAACTCCCAGATGACTAACAAAAACCAGAATGGGGCCCAATGCAGCCTACTCTAGGCTCAGGCAAGAAAAAAGAGGCATAACACTTGTCTGGTGCCCAAGTTTTCCAAATCTTGATTATTCCACAGAGCTTAAATCCCAGGGCACTAAAGTTTGGAAGTGACATGTTAGTGTCTGTCTTGGAAAGGTGTGGATAGGTCACACTTCCTATAGCATTTTCCGAAGTGGCACTGTAAGATGGGTCCTTTCAAGGTTGGCTCATGGTGTACTGCAGACCCATTCCAATGGGGACACACAGAAAAATCAGAATCAGAGCCGAGTTCACTTTAAAAGCCAAACACCTACACCTAGAAGGAGGCTCACGACCTGAAAGCCCACATTCTGCTGGGCTCCCACTGCAGAAGCCCTCAGGTCTCAAGGTTAGTTACAGGGCAGCCAGGTAGGGTATGGTTGGCTGTAGGTAACTGGTGGGTGGGCAACATAGTAGTTATTAAAGTTGCCATCGCTGACGTAGGGAGCTGGCTGGTAGTAGCAGGTGACATTGGTGGCATTGGGGATGATGTTCTGGTCTGCCAGGACACGCAAGGCCAGGAGAGAGATGAGGTTTAGGGTCTGCCTGCGTTCATGCCCCATCAGGCAAACGGTGCTCTCGTTCACTACCCGACGCAGGATCATGAGGTAGTCATACTTGCTTCTCTCTTCTTCGGCAAAGTGGTTTTGAAGGTAGGTCTCCAACTTCCTTTGCTGGTCGAGGATGTCTGGGAAGTCGATGAAAAATCGGGAGCACATATATCGCTCCAGAGTTTTGATTTCCTCCTGGTCTGTGGGCCTGAAATCCCGCACAAGAAGGTTACTATACTTAAGAAGGCCGCCACCTCGGATTTCTTCCGGGTTCTTGGTGGCAATGAGTCTGTTCTGCAGATGGTCAAAGGCTTCCTCGAAGTCTCCATAGACGCTCTCCCCGATCACTGTGGGATGGGAGTCCTCAGAGATGGGGTTGGTGGAGCAGTCATAGAAAAAAAGCAGAGAGTCCAGGATGATTTGGAAAGAGTCCACGCTAAACTCAAACTGGCGCCGAATGGAGTCGACAAATTTGAGCTCCACGTTCCTCCCATTTTTGTTGGAGAGGGAAATCAGGCTCCAGCGGTCTGTGTCCGTGCAGACCTTGACCAGCTTCTGCACATATGCCTCCTTCAGAGTGACCGGGCTGATTTTGAGCTTGTTCACACCCTCCGGCAGGAAGTTCAGAAGAGAACACAGAACCACATCTCTCACCAGCTGAAATTCTGCCTCTGTAGGAAGAGCCACGTGAAAGATGAGGTCCAGGTCTTTGCAACCCAAGCCATTGTCTTTGACCAAAACATGGCCAGCAGCGGAGCCATTCAGTCGGATGTCCTGCACTTTGATGCCTGCCTCCTCCAGCTGGCTGCGGACAGTCTGCACGATGTCCTTCAGGGTGATCTCCAAGGTTGGGAAGTTGCCTCGTCCGTGAATGGGTACGACCTCGGTCAGGACCTCATGCAGCCGGCTAACCTGATCCCAGTTGAGCACGCTGAAGGACACACAGTCCTGGGTACTGCTGCTCTCCTGTGCCATCATGGGGATATTCTGGCCAGGGAAGCTGCAAGAGAGGGGTGAAAGAGAGAGTTAGGATTCACTTCCACAGCGCAAAGCAGCTTGCAGAGCTTGGAGCACATGCCCCCTCATCCTGAGCCTTTTCCTATGAGTGGCCACCAGAGTATCTGTGGCTGCTGGGAAGATGAGGCAAGCTAACTATGGAAAGATACCAGCTAAGGATGAATACCCAGATTTCCTTCTATGTCAACTTGCATCATGTCATAACTTCGTTTTGTGTGGGTTCTGGTTCCGCTACTGTTTTGCTGGTCTGTGGGAGGTGAGAGATCAGGCTGGTTGGCGTGAAGGAGTACAGACAACCTTCTGAGACCAAGAAACTAAACACACTATTAATCAGCAAAGGGCCTGTTTAAAAACAAAGAGGAGAAAGAGTAAACTACAGAGCCTGCATTTTTGTCCATTTGCCCTGTTTTCTTTAGAGTTATCAATTGCCTCCTCCTGGTTTTGGCTCCCTAACTACATTTTGAACCAATACCTAGGCAATACCCACACAAAACACTCTCTCTCTCTCTCTCTCTCTCTCTCTCTCTCTCTCTCTCTCTCAACTACAACCTCACCATGATTTGGGAGTCCGGCGATTTCTACCAAAACAAAGCACAATGTGTATTCACTCAGCAAGACTCCCAAGGCCACTTTACCTATCGCACACATGTCCAATGACAAATATTCTGACATCCAGAATAGAAACAAAAAGCCATATGTAGAACAGACTTTCTGGTCAGCCGAAGGTCCTGCTCAGCCAGCTGTGAAGTGGAACCAACCCTCCGGCAAGGATGCCCTGTGCAAGAACTGGCAACTTCCTTGGGGTGGTATAATGTTTCAACTGTATTTTGAAAAAGAGCTCTATGAAGGTACTACAGGAAAATAAAGTTAGCACTGAGCGCTACGAGAAAACCACCACGGCTCATGCTTCATCTGTCAGAATCATGAAGTATCCAAGCTAATTTTCAACTATGTTGTCCTTTTCAAGAAATGAAATGCAATAGATTTCTGCAAATCCTATTATGAAAATCCTAATACATTAGAACAAATACTAGGCTATTAGAAAGCTAAAATACCTGTGGACTAGGGCAAGTCTAATGTTGGGTAGACAGATAAAAAAGCTGAAAACAACAGGTCACAGTGCTGTCCTCAGATTTCACTCTGACCGGTTCCCCCACCCCTGTGCTTTCTGACTTGCTATGCATAGACAAAATCCACCCTGGTGCAGTTTCATTGTTCAGAAGCTGCTGCCTTTGAATACACATCAGCATGCATTCTCTTGGGGTTCCAACATGGATCTCTGGCCTTGCCCCAGTGCCAGGGATGCCCTGTGAAATCAGGACACCGTGGAGCACACAGAAATGAGCTTTCTAAGAGCTCCCCTTTATGAAGGTAAGTAAGGACATAAGATGCCAACGCAAGCAGTGTGTAGTGTACACAGCTCTACTTTAGGAAGTAAAAGGAAGATGAGCAGAAGAGAAGAAAGGCCCTTGATTGGGGTGAAGAGGAAGGCCATGCCAGAGCTCACTTATGGGGACAGAACGAAAGTCAACGAAGAGGCAATGTGAGTTTTGGGCTGGGGCTAAGGAAAAAAAAGCAGCAAGTAGCTGGAAGTGGCAAGTGTTCAGTGAGCTCCCCTCGGCCTTTTCTGAAGCCAGATCATGGCTTCCCTAAGTTAGGGTCTCAATTAAGAGATTAGGAACCTGCCAAGATGGCAATGGGATGCTTGATGCCGTGATCAATGCAGGCGCTAGACAGATCCATCTAGGGCCAAGTGTTCCTCTGCACTCTACACACACACAAAATGCTTGTCAGTGAGAAGACAAAAGTTGACCCTCTGGCTTTTTCTTTTTTGACACTGTTAAAAGTCCTATGCTACATTAGCCCTTAAGCCACTCCTAAATTACAGATACTGAACAGGTCTACAACAGGAGTACTTCATGTTTGTTATGGCTACCCTTTGGTTTCAAACCTCATTTGACACACTAGAGTCTCTTTTTTCTATCTCTGCTCCCTCCATAGTTCCTTGTGACCTCCCTTATGAAGAGAATGTGGCATGTTCGAGTCTCATATAATTTGGTGTTCGCAGGAAGGTATAGCTCTAGCCTTGTTTTGAGACACAGCTATGTGTGATTTGGTGACACGGATTTCCGTCAAGTCTGTCGGTCCACCTACAAAAATACAACTTGCTTTATGCTGTTGATTGCCTGTTGTGTGTTCAAAACTAACAGGTGCGACACAAGAATGACAAGTCACACAGGGACAAAAACGTCATCTTGATATCAGTGCATGGCATTCAAGTAACAATTTCAAGAAAGTTCTCAAGAAGAGTTTCAGTATTGCTGAAGAGGAAAATAAGTGTATGACTTTTGATATATGGCTTTTATAAAAGAAGTTTTTAGAAGGCCACATAGGGTTAAAGTCAGGACTTCTATGTGATATTAATCTAAAACAATGGGCTCTGAAGACAAAAGAGAATTCGGAGGCTGTGATTTGTTCCTTGGGGGTTAAAAATAAATGTGTGAGAATTTTCATGTATCTTAAAATCTGTGAACTTGTAGTACATTTAAAATTAGAACCTGTTTTATCCAGAGAATGTATAAGGCTCAAATGGAAAAAGGCATATATGACCAGCAAGAAAAAGCTATGAAAAAAAAAAAAATAGGGATGATATACATTAAACTACAAGGTATCACAAAGAACATGTTATCAACATTAAAAAAAAACAAATTTGGGGGACAGAACTTTTAAATTTAGAAATAAAATCCAATGCCTGAGGAGAATTAGTACATAATAAAGGAAGTATTTCAAAGGGGTAAAGAAAATATAGCTATCAGGACTTAAAATCTAGACTTTAAGAAGAAAAGCAAAGGTGGCTTCCAATCAGGACAAACTAAGATCAAAGTGGTTGGATCAAAGTCTTAAGTATAACAGTATGAAACTCTAAAAGTACTAGAAAAAAAAAAAAAAAAAAAAAAAAACAGACTTTATACACACATATACAGAGTAAACAGCCCTTTCAAAATCACATAAAAGGGCTAAAGAGACAGCTCCACAGACTAAGCACCTGCCTGGCAAGCGCAAGGTCTGATCCCTGGTACCTCTGCCGTGCCAGCCTGCCCCCAGGTGTGCTAAGCCAGCCCCCGAGACCGGGTGTGGTGGCGCACACCCATAATCCCAGCACTGGGGAGGCTGAGACAGGAGGATCACTATGAGTCAGAGCTGAGTAGTGAGACTCTGTACCAAATACATAAATAAATCTTTAAAAAGAAGCTTTATAAAATCACATAAAACCTAAAAGCCACAAAAACTGATCATTGACTATATAAAATAAAACTACATGGTTAAAAAAATACTTCAGCGAAGTTAAAGACAAGACTAGGACAATCTTTGTAACATTAGGTCATCATTTCCTTAATAAATAAGGAGCTCGTATGGATCAGAGACACCAAAACCCAGCAGACAAGGGCAAAGAACAACAGCAGTAACTCAGATACGTGACATAGTCAACCGTATGCAACAGGGAGGCAAACGGAAACGTGAGTGCACCATTTTCACCTACAGTCTTGGCGAAGATCAGCAAGCCTGCTGGGTGGGAAAACAAGGACTCTCGTTCCCTCCCTGTGGGGCTCTGAGGAACAGTGAGAGCCTCTTAAACTTTAAAGGGACGTGCTCTTTGGTGCAGCAATTCTATCTCAAGGTTCACCTTCTGGGACTACTTGCAGGTACATAGAAATATTCATTGAAGAAATACTCATAAACCTCATCAATAGAAGAGGGTTACATGAGGCAAGTCTGATAGTATACAAATACATACGGTTGTTTGACACAACAGTGGCTACTTTGCATGTCTGAATGTGAGATACTCATCAAAACTTAGAAAAGCACAGGGCTGGGGACATAGTTCAGTGGCATAAGCGCCTGCCTGGCAAGCATAAGGACTAGGGTCCGATACCCAGTACCACATGCCGTGCCAGCCCTGGAACCCCACGCTCGCTGTGCCGGCCACCAAAACCAGGTATGGGGTGTATGCCTGTAATCCCAGCACTGGGGAGGCTGCGACAGGAGGATCACTATAAATCCGAGCCATGTAGTGAGACCCTGTACCAAATAAATAAATAACTTAGCAAAGCCCATAGAAAACTGTGTGTCAATGTTTATCCTTATAAAAGCATGCAAAATCTTGGGAAAGATACACTATAAGTAATGCAACCTGTATCAAACACTAACTCCTGTTTGAGGGAGAAGAGAAAAAGAAAAAATGTTGTAATCTTAGAATGTGGAAGTTATCCATGTGTTAGTTGTTGATAAAAAAAATTAAAATCTCATGATCCAAACCCCAAAACCTTTCCCACTGAGCCCTCTTTTCATCACTAACTTAACCAGATTTTCCAGTTCCCTTCCCCACCCCCATTCCTGTACCCCTGTGCCAAAAATCACATCCACTTGGACATCTCCCTTCCCAGCCTTAACTGTTGCGAGATCTCCATTTTTCCTCCTGTTTTTACCTTTTGGTCAAGTATCTACTTATATACTTTTTTTATAAAAGATTCTCACTATTTATCTTTAAAAATCCAAACTCTCAAAATAATGGTTAAACCATTTCACCTAGCCCCACTCTATGTTTGCTACCAAACAATGTTTTTTACATTTTACAGGATACTCACTTCAAAGGTATTACAGCCACCCTCGTGATAGTTTTATGTTGATTATGGGCAACAGTTGCAAGAACTTTAGCATATACAGTAACTCCTTTTTCAGGAATCCATGATGCGAGTGGACAGCATTTTCCATGCCAACCTCTCACATGTATGTGAAGAAAAGACTTAACTTTTAGAGGAAAGAAAAAAAAAAAGTCTATATCAAAGCACAGCAAGAGACATGGACAAATACCAAGTTTACAATGTAATGTTTAATTCTCTCTACGTGCCATAATCTACATATGGACAAAGTGAGTCAGTTGAGGGCTCGAATTCAGGCCCTTTGTATTATTCTTAGCTCACT